ACTTCTTTAATTAATTTGCATATATTTTTTAATTATTACCAATTATATAAATAAAATAAAAAAAATATTTTTAGAATTAGTATTATTTAAAATATAATAATTAAATAATATTGCAATCAATATACGTAAATTTCATTTTTCATTTTATTGAATTTATTTGATACAAAATGGAATTATCAATTTGATTTCATAGAAGTATAATTTTATTGATAAAAAAGAGAAATTTTTCGAATTTTTCAACATTTGGAAAATTGGATTTTAAAAAAGTTTTATATATACATTTTTTCTACGTAAAAAATATACAGATAAAAGATCGCCCAAAGGTTTCAGTTCTTTCTTGAAAAATTCAGAGTGAATTTTAAGATCTAAAGATCCATTCGACCTAAAGATCCATCTCAGTTCAACTTCTTTTTTTAATTCATCTTTTTCATTTTGTATCTTTTTTAAAGACCTAATATCGCCAACACGTATCGCTATTCACTCGAGGATGTCTTGCTTCCTTTTTTTCTCGTCTTCCTTTTTCCGCCGAGTCTCCTCCTTGCTCTATCCTGTCCCATCGATTTCGCTCACTCTTCTCTATACCACTTCCGTCAACGCTGATATGAAAGGGACGTCGAAAAGTTTTGTTCTCTCGCCGTGGTGTCTTCCATTTCCATCCCCATGTCCTCATCGTCCTCCGGCTGTTCCGCTTACTTCTCTTCGTTTTTTCGCATGCAGATTGAACTTTATGAGCGCGTATTCGCGAAAGTTCACCACGACGAGGGAATGAAAAGGTAAAAGTCAAATGGAAATCAGTTATTCTTTAAAATCGTCCTTGAAAGTCTGCCTCGAACGAATTCCTATTGTTTCCGACTCGCCATGTGTCTAACTATTTTTTTAATCCGGAGTTAAAACGTAAAATCTTTGAAATTTATTTAAAGAATTCAACGAGAAGCGTTTAGAATAAAAACGTATGCTGTATGCGTGGGATTTAAAGTTGATACGTTTTTAAAAGCTTGACAACATTAATATTCTTTAAAATTGTCTTAATTGTAAAGAAAGTAAAAGAATGCAAATTTTAAATGGAATGGTGATTTATTTAATAATAAATTAATTTTTGCGCAAAAATTTTTTAATGTATAATTTTTAATGTAAGAAAAGTTATAGTTTTGTTTAAAATGCTGGAATTATAATCATAACTTGAGCATTTTAAACAAAAAAAAGACATAAAGGGAGAAGAAAAGAAAGAGAGAGAGAGAGAGAGAGAGAGAGAGGGGGGGGGAGGGAAGAAGGAAATGTTACGTGATTTCAAATTTGCAATTTGCAGAAATGTGCATATTGGAATTTTCTTCTAACTACTTGCTTAAGTGCGAGTAACATTAACTGCATTTCCGGTGCATCGCCATCGTAACATTCCCAAGAAGTTTCATCCTGTTGAAGATACCACGCACACGTCTCTATCGAGCTGAGACATTGGCTAACTTTTAAAGTGTCATTACGAAGATGCGAGGTATCTCTCTATATTCTGAGTCTCGCAATGCTTCGCGTATATATATCTAATAGTTAATATAAGCCCTGCATACAAATGTTACGCAATGTGAAATTTTTAATTTAAATTTACGAATTTTTTGAAAAGCATAAAATAAAACAATAAATTATAATATGCAATATTTTTTTAACATATATTATTTCATAATAATTCTAAAATAGATTTAAATAGATTTATAATAGATTAGCTATAATTTTCTAGAAATATGTAATTTTTTTTTGAAAATTATAC